TCTGCTTTGAAAGGTGACAGCCTCGCAAACCCTTTGAGGCAGTTCTGCGGTGCACACGGGTCACCTGACTGGACGAGAACTACCGAGCACCGCCACCTAGACAGGCTCAGGCGTTCTCAGGAAGTGCGAACACAAAGCCACTGCTGCCTGGAGGGAGAGGAGCGCCATCCCCTTCTCACCGCCCGTCTTCTGAGCAGTTTGAATTTTTCCTAGCACGGTTATGCTTACTCACATAGTTAAAAATAGTCATGAAGCCAGAGGAAAAGGCAGCGCTGAGTCACGAGAGGTCGACCCCGACCTAGAAATGAACCTGCTGCGGCTCTTGGGCCAGGACAGAGAGAGCAGCAGGAGAGAGAGGGGCTCCCCAATCCGACCCAAGGGGACCCATGGGGATTCTCCCTCCACAGAGCGAGCCGAATTCCTGCAGGCTTCCTGCACGGAGCCCTGAGGGTGAAACCTGGCCACCGGCCTCGGCTGTGGGACCTACCGTCCTCAGCGGCTGTCTTGGGAGCAGGGCCCGGGTTGCTGCTGGGCCTGCTGGCCTCTGGGGGACGCGGGACCCGTGGTGCAGCTTGGGTGTGCGTGTCCTCTTCGCGGACAGGGGCAGGCGTCCACCGGGGGATGTGAGAGGTGCCCTGGGAGATGAGCTCATCCACGTAATATTCAATCACCTCCTTCCCCTGGAAGCCAGAGAGATCCGAGACCCATCAGCAGGGGTGGGGCGTGGGGCTGCCAGTGTCAGCGCCGCCCCCACCTGGGTCCAGTCCCAGACTGGACAAATGGCTCGTGAGCACTTGACACGGGCCTGGTCTGAAACGGGGTGTGCAACCCCCTCCACATTCCAAGACTTAGTATGTGTTATGGTTGAATCCCTATAGTACATGGGTTGAACTGTGTCCTTCAAGAAGGTATGTCCAACAGGGAAGAGGCGGTCATGGGGGGGAAGTGGGAGGAGAGCTGTTGCATTGTGGGAGATTTCAGTCCACATCATGAGACAAAGTGTATGTGAAGTGCTGTATGGAAGATGAATTTGCTCTGTAAACTTTCACCCAAATCACAATAGAATTTAAAGAAGATGAAGATATATCCAAGCCTTCGCCCCAGTACCTATGAGTGTGACCTTGTCAGGCAGTAGCATCTTTGTAGATGTAATCAAGTGAAAATGTGCTGGTAAGGTGGACCCTAATCCAGTGTGACTGGTACCCTTATAAGAAGAGAAGAGGCCCACAGACACAGAGGGAGAAGCCATGTGAAGACACGCAGAGATCGGAGCAAGGCAGCCACAAGCCAAGGAATGCCTGGAGCCTTCAGAAGCTGTGGGAGACAAGGAAAGACTCCCCCCTAGGCCTTCCAAGGGAGCACGGCCCTGGTGACACCCCGATTTTGGACTTCTAGCCTCCAAAAGTGTGAGAGAATGACTTCCTGTCGTTGTAAGCTGCCCAGTTTGTGGCACTTGGTTACGGCAGCCCCAGGAGGACACGGTGTGAAGGACAGAATGTAAAATGTCTCATAATCTCCATGCTGATGGCGTGTTAGGTGAAATATGTCATTAAAATTCATTTTACCTGTGTCATTGCACTCAAAGGCCTCCACCACCCAGTGAGGGTCAGAGCTTCACAACAAGCAGCCATCATTTTAAGCAGGAAAAGTCCTTGCAGACTGTCCCTCCTCTGTCCAGGGAATTCACCCCACGAGGCCCAGCGTCAGTGGGCTTTGGGGCAGTGATGAGGGTGTACCCACTTGGGCCGGGTCTTTTCCACCCATGATCCCAGGTGATACGGTCATTCCTATGACACCCATTTTACAGATGAGGGGCTGAGGCTGGGAGGGTTGTCAGGTGCAGAGCAGGATTTGGACCTGGGGCTGGTGGCTCTGAGGTCTGGGTGCCTTCCTCCCGTGAGGACCCGAGCCCGCCTCTCACCTTCTTGATGTTCGCTGTGTACTGCTTCATGGCGATCTTCTCCAGAGTGTTTTCAAAGCCAAAGAAGGACCGGATGTCGAGGGAGGCGGACTGCTCAAAGCAGGTCCAGTCCTCATTCTCAGGGTGGACCTGAAAGCCAGAGGCGGGTGGTGACGGGCCTTTATTTGGGGTGCTGAGCCCTCCCCAGCCAGGGCACACTGTGGGCAGCACCTGAGATGGGGGAGGCAACAGTACCAAGGGGCCCCACCCAGTGTCTAAACCGTTGGGGAACAAAGAGTGTCACCAGGGGCCAGGGGAAAGCCAAGGCAATACGTGTGTGTGTGTGTGTGTGTGTAAAACCATTGGCTACTGAGTTGATCCTGACCCATGGTGACCCCAGGTGTGTCACAGTAGAACCGTGCCCCACGGGGCTCTCCGTGGCTGATCTTTCAAAGGCAGAGCGCCAGGCCTTTATTTTAAGGCACCTCTGGGTGGACTCACACCACTAACCTCGTGGCTAGCAGCCACGCATGTTAATCATTTATGCCACCCAAGGGCTAGATAGGTATGTGTATATAGTTTGTTGTTGCTGTTGTTGTTATGTGCCATTGAGTCAGACCCGACTCACAGCGACCCCTCCTTGGGTTACCAAGGCAGTACCACTACAGAAGTAGGTTGCCCAATCTTCCTTCTGAGGAGTGGCTGGTGGGTTTGAACCGCCAGCCTTCTGGTTAGCAGTCAAGTGCCTTAGGCACTACGCTACCAGAACTCAC